CTGGCGGTCTCTCAGGTCTCTGTGGAAAGCTTTGGTATCTCGAGAGTCAGACGAGTATGGGACGCAATTCCTACTGTCAAACTAGAGCACCTTATAAGAGGAAAGGGAGTAATGTTTACACAGGTTAGAAACGGGCATATTTTCCCTCTTTTCACTCCTGAATCTAACTTCTGTTGATTTAACTTAAAAACATTAATAGTATGCTTCCTGCGGTTCCTTTACTAAGTGATGCAGGCTGCTTCTGCAGCAACAGTTAGAATCTGGTTTCTTCTTTAGAAATAAGCATTAACTCTTGAATTCCAAATAGCTGTTGTGCTAGCCTCTAAGGTGATTTAGTTTCTTTGGTTGCTTCTTTTGGACAGCCTAAATCTGTGCCAGCTTTTCCCTCTATTAAAAATACAGAGGTATTTAGAACAGCTGACTAAAAGTATGTTACCTCAGGTGGGGACTCAGCTTAAACAATATTTGTGACCTGGCTTGGAGGGAAAGCTGGCCTTCAGATCAGTTTGTCAAAAGATGTTTTAAACTCTAAATTGTCCATAGTATCAATGGAACAAGGACACAAACAGAGTCAATCTTCAACTTTGCTTGCATGTTGCAGTGGTGCAGGAAATAAACAAGAGTGCCAAGCTCATACAGTTCTACTCAGCTTAGTTAGTTTGAGGAGAATTAAAAAATCATGAAGGAAGGTTTGCAGAAGAAAAACTTGATGGGGATCTAGTTTTGCAAAGCTTGGGAAATTCATGCTTATAGTTTCATAAAGAGCATTTAAAGTTTGACTAATTCATGTAGTAGAGCGACGCTGTCCACTTAATTTTCACTTACCTGATGTTGATAAAGAACAAATTATTAAAATAAGGTTATAGCCAATAGTCAATATTGGACTGTCACTGGCAGAAACCATTTTGCCATAGGCTCAGTGCTTCCTGTAGATCTAGGAGTGGATTTTGACCTAACAATAATTGGCAGATGGAGATGATCATGTCAAGGAAATGAGCACTTTTTGATGTCTAATTAGAGTTCAGTGATGGTTCTTTAAACTTCTGTTCTTCAGCTGTTAAACATTAAGTTCTCTTCAGGAAAGTGGATGCTGTTGCTAGTTGTTTCTGAAAGTGAAATCAAACACCTCCAAATCAGTATGTACCAGCTTCTGGAAGAATTGATATCCTGTCCAAATGTTAAGACTTGTGTTGACTGTTCAGGCTCTCAATTGTTGCTCTCTGCAGTGGTTTATAGATCCTGCCAAGCTAGATGGAATAGAGTAGATGCTATCAAGAGGAACCTGCTTTGTCTAATTTTTTAGGATGTGGAAAACAAGGGGGTTACCAGTGACCTTGAAGTCAAAGTAGAAGCATAACACCTTAACTATTAATAATAGTGAATTTCAAATGGTATAGCAATTTAGCTTTTACCCCACCCTCTGGATCCAAGAAGTATTAGAAGTTTTTCTGCTTTTATTTTGCAGTCTTTGTAAGGCTTGACTAAAGTCTTCAAATGATTTTGTATATGAGGTTTTTGATGCTCAATGTTCTTTGGTGCTAGTGGCATTGGGTTTTTTTTCAAGCACTTCTGCTGCCATCATCCTTCTGCTTTGTTCCCTAACCACGTACTCCTCTCTATTTTCCTGCAGAAACCTTAACTCCTGCAATAAATACCTCTGCTTTTTAAAACCTCACTGCTAAGCCAGCCACATCCAAATATGCATAAGTTTATTGGGTTGTTGATCTCATCTCTGCATTACCACTGTTGGCCTCAAACAGCAGCTGTTTTATTGAATACACTTCCATTTAACCTTTAAGGTTCCCTCTGCCACCATGTTACTGCCACAGTATTCCTTTAGAGTGCTCAGTTTGCTGCTGTGGGATCCCTCACCTGATGTTTTGTACAGAAACAAAATACTCAAACTTTGAGCAGCACTAGTCATCAGTGCCAACAGAACAACAAGTCTTGTAAATATGACTTGAAGAAATGAGCTCATAAGTCTTTAAAGTGAGTGGCAGAAATGTTAATTCTTCAGAGTAATACAGGAAACAGGATTTTTTTTAAGTTCGACAAAACTTCAGAAAATTATGGGAAAGGTTATGGTTTTTTCTCCATTAGGATCTCATAATTATGAGAAGCAGCCTGATACATATCTAGAGCCACTAGTTTATTATAGATGAAAGCTAGTCCCAGTTTGATACTTACAACTTCCAGAATTAGTAACAGGTTGCTTTTCCTCATTCTGGTATTTTACTTCCTTTCACCCTGGTTCCCCTAATGCTAAATATTTTTTTTTCTCTGTTTTCTTCTTATCCACTTCTGGGAACTAGGCTGGAAAACCAGTGCTACTCATGAATGGGGAGAGGTTGAAAAACAAGCTCTGGCTGTATTTGAAATTTTTTTTGTAAAGTCTTTCCTCTGGAAGAACTAAGATGTGATAGATAAATAGCACTGAGCAGAACTGTTCTCTATTAATTCCCAATTCTTTTGTCTGGAGCTGGGACAAATTGTCAAAGCCATTCTTCTAGACCAGAAGGACGCCTATTTTTTTTTTCATTTTGTGTGTATCACTGACTTGGCAAGGAATTGAAAGCAAAGTTCTTACCTGTTAAAGTAAAGGCATTTAGCTATAAGCATATAGCTATAATTCTTTGTGTCTCTTAATTAATTTGTGACTCGCTGACTGGGCTAGGCAGGAGCAGAAACAAATGGTATCAGAAGCAGAAACAAATTTGCTGTAGAAAAGGTAAGGTGGTACTATAATTGTTCTGGGCAGCAGATGTTTATCTCGGTTTCAGCTGTAAACCATTATACTTCTTTAGAGATTCTTTAAAAGGGGAGCTGCAAGTGTCTAACCCACTCTCTCTGTGATATATGTACTAAAACAAGGGACAAAAAAAAGCTGTTCAAGCTAGGAATCTCTTAAAATACTCTGGTATTTTGCTGCCAGAGCAAAAGCACTATTAAAACAGTACTGCCTTAATATATCTGATTCTAAAGAGCATATAAGACAATTGCTTGACTTTTCTTAGACAAGAAAACTGAATTAAACTGTTATATTCTTCTCTTCACAGAGATTTGAACCCTTGTGTTTTCAGGGCAGGAGAAACTTGACATGGAGAAAAACACCATGAGGCTTCTCTGTACTTCACTTTCTCTTATGATGATTTGCTGGCTAGCTGAAGGTACCCTGTCAAAAACAGATGCAAAGAAAGGTGCTACAAAAAAACTGGAAGAAAAGGTAAGAGAAATAACTCAAATGTTCATCCTATCTAACATGTGCAATGAACTAATTGAACTTTGGTAAATGGACTTTCATTCTGTCAAAACAGTGTTAAAAGCAACCGTGCATTTCTGTGGAAGCTTATGCTCACAAATAAGACTACCTGAAACTGTCCTTTCCTTCAGCTTTTATGAGTGTCAGAAATGGTTCACTCCTTGAACCAATATGATGTAGACTTCTGGAACTTTATCCCCCATGCAAGCTGCAGAAGCAGGAAGTTTTTGTCCCCTCTTGCATAGCTAAAGGAGACATACTTCCATCCCTTTGGAAAGCGGGGTGGGGAGCAGTAGTTTGGGCCAAGAGTGCTAGGTCATTTACTAGTGGAAGGGAAGGTGTTCTCAGCCTTGCCAATGGGAAGGCTGTGTCTTGATAGAAGAGTTTGAAAAGCCTTCTAACCAGCAGTTCCTTTGCAAGCAGAAATGATTCAGAGTCCTGTAGCAATCTGAGCAAGTGGAGCCAACATGCTGAAGTCTCTCTTAACTTGCTGAGCCTGTTCTTGTTTCCTGCATGTTTTCTTTCAAAACTGCAAGAAGGCACAGCAGTGCAAGAGAAAGGGTGTGTATGGAGAGGAAGTATGTTTACCAGTGCATATACCTAGTATATGTACTTAGTGTTGCTAAGCATGTTCGGTAAAAAAGTAGACATCTCCCTTAAATTATAAGTACAGTTAATCCTTCATTATGTAGATATATCTCTCATTATTTGTATTACTTGCTTACTCAACATCTACCAGGAAGAAAATCTGGTCTGCAGGTAGTGAGAATAATACGAAGTGTTAAGACAGGCCTTATTGCTAAAGCCCTTACACAGAATCAATAGATGGTTTCTGTGTACTCACCATGCACACTTTATTAGGCCTTCTCACTCTGTTTCTGTCTGCTAAAACTATTTGCGCTGTTTTAGTTGAAGCAGACCTTCTTTAAAGAAAGGCATTCAGAACCTTGGTCTTCAGTAACCACAGTGCAGCATACTAAGTCTAAAATATATCCAGTTTAAGAGTCATCTTCAAATTCTTGGTTAAGAACTCCTAATCCCTTTTTATCATTTTGGGGGTAACATGCCAGAAAGCTTTGACTAGAGAGCAGAGCACCATCAGCTGTAGTGAATGATGTTCTTTAATCTTGTCACTTCTTCTTTTGTTGTTGTTTATATGCTTTTTGCCTTGCAAACAAAGTAAGTTTACTGATGATGACAAATAATTTCTGAGCACTTTCCTGTTTCAGTTTTAAATCAAACTGCTCTGCATCATTTAAAAGGAGTGCTTAGAGTTTAATGATGTGATTTTTTTTTTTTTTTAATTTTTTGTTTCTTTTCGAAGTCTGTTGCTATTGAAAATGGCTGCTTCATATAGCTGGTTCTAAAAACTGTTTTCTCTCCCCAGATGCTGCGTTCTGATAAAAATGTGCAGGACCGGGGACTGGTAGTTGTGGATCCAAAGGCAAAGGATATTATACTGGAACACAGAAGTTACTGCTCCAAGAAGATGAAGGAAAGAGGTTTCTCAGGAGATGTTCTGGGATATATTACTCCCGTAAGTTAATAAAGTGAACAAAATCAGTGCTTTGAATTAATATGCAGCAGACTGTGCTAATCTGCAATCTTGCATCCCTGCTTTAAAAGCATTTTTGTACTAAGGGGAACTTGTGGTCAAATACAGTCAAATAGCCAGAGTATTGTTTGAGAGCTGGCTTGGGATTTGGGTGGTCTCAAACCCTTGTTCTTCCGTCCATCTCCTGGAGGATGTCTAGGTCATTGTGTTTCTTCTCACTGGTAAAACAGAGATGATAGTATTCTCTTGTCCTTGATGAGCCATGTGAAGTTGCAGTAAAGTTAGAACAGGAGGGCTACTAAGTGTCCTCATACCATGCAGCCACCAACTTGAACCTTCTAAATAAACAGTAAAAATCTTATGCTGCTGTCCAACTGATCTCTTTTGCTATCCAGTCTTATCAGGAAAGCATCCTTTCTGGAATAATAAATGTCTCTTCCTTTTGTTTAGAGGATGCTTTTCACTTGTTTCAGTCTTACGCTACTCAAAAGAGAAATAGGTGCCTTATTTTCACTTTTCTCAAGTTCTCTTGAACATAAATGCAGAGTCTGTAAATTCAAAACTGTGTTGGAATCTACACGCAAATTCCTGTAGTTAGGTGAATTTGCATAATTTGAAGATTGCCTTTCATGTAGCTATCAGAGTTTCCAGAGTACTTTCTTATTTAAAAAAAAATAATGTCCCAGAAGTTTTCCTCAAACTAATAGGGATCTAGCAAATGATTACACTTGTGTTAAAGAATTTGTATTGGTTGAAAGTGAGCTGTATATCTTGCTTTTGAGCCTCTCACTTTTTTTTTTCCTCTTTTCTTTTGCAAGTGGAACAGCCATGGCTATGACATTGCTAAAATATTTGGAAACAAATTTACACTAATCTCACCAGTCTGGTTGCAAGTGAAAAGGAGAGGGAAGGAAAGGTTCCAGTTTACTGGGCTCCATGATGCTGATAAAGGTGTTATTTTCTTTTTCTTTGGTTATGCATTGCAAGTAAGATTACTGGTCTTGTTGCAGAATAGGTAGCTTTGGCAAATATATGCATGTGGGTTTTTCTGGCTTTGCCTCATGGTGAAGTACTTTCATCCATTCCATTTTTTGGAGAGTTTTCTTCAGAGTGAACTTCTTTCTGTCCCCACCTGCTTCCACGTGTATACATAATTTATGTGTCCAAAGAATAAGTAGGAAGATTGGCACTTCCACCAGGCTGTCTACAAAGCCCCTCTCAAAAAAAGGAAGGGACAAAGAATCTGTACAGGCAGGAATAGTCTTTGGTGTTTGCACTGTGCAGTTGTTTACCTGTTGTTTTTTTCCCTTTGCAAAAACATTTGGGTGAATTTGTTTTGAGAATGGAAGATAAATTTAATCTGAAGATAATTTTTTCCTTCACTGGCAAGAAACTGGCAGCAAGTTCAGATTTCAGCTAGTATGTTCTTAAACAATAACTAAGTAGTTCATGGTTTTGAATGTGATTGAATGTGGAATCTCATTTGAAACATCTGTAATTCTTACCATGTTGGTGTCCACCGACAAATTCATTCTAGCGCAATGACTGCCAAGAGGAGTGGATGGGACACTTGAAAGTACCATCTTTTAAAAAAAAAAAAAAAAAAAAAATTCCTCCCAGGTGGTGCTTGGTGACTACAGATATGTTGTTCTGAGTAGGCAGTGAGATAGTTTCCATGACGATGCAGAACTGTAAGCAGCAGGGAGGGATTGGGTGGGGACTACTGTAAGTTTGTCGTAAATGCTGGTTATGCTGTAGTGGAGGTGAATAGCTTCAAATTCTGCGCATCAGAAGATGTTTCATCTGTGTTGGTTATGAACTGGTAGTCTGTGGTAGGAAGATAGATATAATGAAACTAGGCTACATTATTTGAAGAATGCTTGAAAATATGTTGTCATTGTCAACATCATTTATATTTTAACAGTTGTTCTCTTACTTGATACCATTTGGCAGGCTGGATGAAAGATGTCAGAAAAACCTCCAAAAACATCAAAATAGGTGAGCCTCTGTTTTATGTTTGTTTTTTATCTTCTTTAACTGCTAGCAGAGCAAGAGAAGGCTTTGTTCCAGGTGTGTATGGGAGAAGCGGAGGTTACCTTAGCATAGTTGTATGAAGGAAGAAGTCTGAGAAGAAAAATAAAACCAGTTAACTATAGGTAGATACATAACTGAAGTGTTGATCCTGTTGGTGCCCTAATGTTTTGCCTTAACTTCTTGTCTCTGGATAGACCCTGGGTGACAGGGCCCTCTCTGGAGGCGTAATTTGTATATAACATACCTGTTTACCTTGGGAGTAGTCTCCAAACTTGTTGCTCAGGGGTTCTACTTAGCTAAAAAGAAAAAAAAAATCCAAATCTGAGTCAGACGGATTTTCCTTCATGATAGCAGAAAAGTCATCCTTTGGCTCTTCTCCCCTTGAAGCTGGGAACTCATGTGCCATGGTGTGTGTCTTTAGGGAAAACGGCAAACATTGCTATAGAGATAATACTGTGCTAAACTTCTTACATTTGTCTATGGCAAGAATTCTGTGGAACTGTGAAACCCTTCTTGATTCAGAAGGGAGTATGAAACTTGAAATGCATTAGAAAAATTGAATGCTGAGTCAGATATTTTAAATTACTTCAGCTGCCAGATGATAAAGCCTTTGAAATCTCTAGACTCTTCTAAAATACCCTTTTACATCCCTGATAGTTAGAAAGGGCTTAGACATAGCTCTGTGCGAGTTGTTGGCTTTTCCAGTGTGCATGGTTGTCAACTGTTCCAACAGTTTTCCCGACTCTTGTCTGAATATGTTTTTAAGGTTTTGTGTTCTTAGAAAAAGAAATTACATGAGTTTAAATGGCCATGTTTTCCAAAATAAAAATTTGTCATAGGGTCTTGAGATGAGTAGAAGAGTGAAGTAATATAGGGTTGTGTACAAAAGAGTAAATTGGAGTCTGAGATCTTGTTCTTGCAGTAGAAGAGATGCACATGTTACAGAAAGATTGCCATTTCATGTTGGTGTTCTTTTAAGACTCTACTTGGGGCCCTAAGTGACAGTCCAATTAAGATAGTTCAATGAAGTGAAGGTGTCTTTTCTTAAAACTTGCATCAGTGCTGACCTTTAACTAAACATAAAATGGAAGAACAATGTTCTATAGTGTCAATTTATCTGTGCTGCTAAAATTGGTCAGAATGAAAGAGCAATGATATAAGTCATGGGGTATGTTGTTTAGTGGCATCTCTACTTGCATCTGCTGTATTCTGTTTCTGCAGAAATATTCCAGTGTAGATAGTAAATTCTTAATTTTCACTACTATTGATGACTTTGCTTGATAGTGCCTCGAATTTTGTTTGATGGCTGGACTTATCAGGACTTCGAGAGTGTTTTTGGAAGTGAGGATGAGATAGAGGAACTTTCTAAGAACATGGTTCTGCTAGCCAAGGTAAAAAGACTTTTTGCTAATCCTTATAAAAGTGTGAGATGATATTTGGTTCCTTTTGTAATGGGTGTTTTCTCATTTCCAGTAGTTTTATATTCTACAAAATAAATTTCTGTTGAAAACAATAATGAGACAGGATTCTTAATAGTGTGTCCTAGTATATGTCCAATTCCTGTAAATACAAAATATAGCAACACTTAAGTGCAGTTAACTATAAGTCTAAAGTGAGACTACCTAAGTCTGATCAACCTAACCTTGTTAAGTTATTGTTGGCAGCTGCACTGGTGCACTTCTGCCTGTTACAAGTTATGATTAGTAAAACCTGTTCCAAACAGCTGACAGGCTGAATGTTACTGAGACAGTAGAGGGTACCTGATAAACTTCTCATGGAGGTTGCTTAGTGAGCAGACTGCTTTCTTTTAAACTTATATTAAAAAACCAAATCTATTAAGCAGGGGCTAAACTGGTTAGTGATGTTTTTTGATAGGCAGAAGAAGGGTCACAGGTGCAATGAGTGCCGTTTTCTGTGTTACAGGAGTACTTTCAGGCTCAGCGTGCTAGAGCTAATGAGCCACTTTTAATACCAAGAATAACTCACTGGATATCTGTTTCTGTACAGTTTTGCTCAGGTCCGATAAACCAGTTTCCTTAAAATGTTAAGAGGCTAGGCAAAGGAGAAGAGGATTTACTTTTAAGGAATGGTTACTGTTTGCTAAGGTTTTATGGGCAGCCCCTTAGCTAATGGCTTTAGAGCTATGCATGTGTAGGACTAGACAAGTTGCACCCAAAAGACATTCAGCTTTCATGGTTGATTCATGACAGCCTGCTTAATTACTGTCAGAGTAAGTTTTCTCACTTGCTACATGATGTAAAGAAATCATAATGTGCTCTAGAGGAAGATGGATGTAGAGGTCAACTGGATAGTGTCTTAGAATTTGTAACTGATACATCAATTTTAGGTCCTCAGTAACAGTTGGCCTCTTAAGGAAAGGGTACTCAAGTACAACAGCATCCTTGATCATGCTAAATGTAAATTAGCACAAGTGAGATTAATTGTGGGCAATATTTGGAATCATGCCTATGCCAAGTTAGCATTTACATCTTCAGACTTGAGCTCTTGAGTTTTTTCCCAATATACATGTAAATGTGTGTCAAATGATTTGCTTAACAACCATCTTTCATTAATGGCTGAATTTTCCCAATCTGATGCTGGTTTATCCTGTAAGAGTAGAACTCATGGATAACTAAGAGACTTTTAACTTTTGCATGTTTGTTAAATAATTTGTGCTTCTCTGACTAATTCATTAAATGCTGCATTAAAGACGAAGCTGGTATAAGAATACAAAGCATGTTCAATCTGTAATAGTACAAGAAAAACTACAGTAATTGTGTGTTTTGATATTGTATTGTCATGTCTGATACAAGCATAATCAGTAAGTGTGGTGATTCACTGTATATTGTTGATTCTGTTTATTTAGAATGAAAATTTTGATGGTTTTGTAGTTGAAGTTTGGAGTCAGCTGGGAAATCAAAAGCAAACGTGAGTATAAGTCTCTAGGAAGCAATTCCTAAAAATTGGCTCTTTTAAAGCATCTTTTTAATTTGTCCATGTTGTTTTGAATTTGTCATTATAAATAAGTACACTTAATTCTAGGACAACTGAAGATTGTTCCATTTACTTTAGAGTGAAGTAGAAGAGTCCAGTCTACATGAGCTCAAAGATTACATAATAATCTTCATAGTGGACCTAGCAGACCACATTAGCATTTCATATTTGAGTTCTGCAAGATGTTACTGTTGTACAAGGTTGAAGAGGGTACCTCAGTTGCATCTTACTCAGATGTTGGCACTGGGCTTTATTATAGCATTGATTGGTTTGGTTTACTGGGTGAAGCTTGGAAGTGTGGGATTCTTTCAAGACCACTGAATTTGAATTGCTTAGGAAACCTTTCAAGCCTTTATATTGAGATCTTTTAGACATACTGAAGCTAAAACCAAAATCCCAAACCCAAAGCAAATCTAGGGAGAAACTGTCTTCTAGTTCTTGCAAGCACAGTGTATTTTAAACTTTGGAGTAGCTGATCTACCTTTTGGTAGCTCCACTTTCAGTTAGTCTGCATTTATTGTAGCTGCTAAAACTAAAGGGCTTATCCATATTAAGCTGTTTCCCTGCTCACTGCAGGGGGGTTGGGCTCGATGATCTCTCAAGGTCCCTTCCAACCCAAAACATTCTATGATTCTATGATCTCGGAGATATTCTAATCTATTTTCCTTGAGCAAAAGCCCCTTGGCTGTCTTAACACCTTGGACAGGGTCAAGGTAAGGCAAGCTCCAAACTGCTGTTTCAGGAGGAAAAGGCAGAATGTGTGGTGAAATGAATGATTCAGCACAGCAATGTAAAGATTTTGTGTTAGTTTCCTCAGGAAATTCAGGCATCCATTCCCTAAAGCACAACAGTCCTATCAACTCTATTGCCTAAAATGTCTGGGGGAAAATAGCTTAAAAGAAAGCTCCACAGAATGCAGACTTCATTATGGAAGACTTTCACCTTTCAAGAATGGTTACTTCAGGTTATTTTGTTTAGGGCAAATGTTACTGACAGTGGCATATAATAGTTACTTCTGGAACCAATTGTGCTATTAACAGAGTCCTACCTTTTCCCTATAAAATCAAAACTTGGGAACAAAGAACTGAAACTACAGAATCTTCGTAGCCTTGTCAGGGACTCCACCATTTGCACTGGAATGAATAATCCTTAAGCTAGATGCTCTTGCTCATAATCAGGTAATTTGCCAGTTTGCTCCTAAGAGTTGATCTCTATACTGAGCTCTGAACCTATTGCAATGTCTTAATAAGACAGCCAACAAGGTGATTTAAGCAATTAGTAACTGCCAGCCAGAAGCTGGGTGTAGTGGTCAGTTTATCTACTGTGGTTACTATATTTCAGTAAAATTGATGCTTTTCCTATTAGTTAATTTCCATGAATGTAAGACAGACTGTATTGCTATAATTTTAAGACTCACTGAACACCAATTTAAGGACAGTAGCATCAAAGTTCTGTATTGCAAATGACACACATGAACAAAGCATACTCTTTTATTAGCTCCAGGGTGAGTTTACTTGTGGCATGGTAAAAATGTTACTCTTTGCCAGGAGTAATGCTGGTTCAAAACAGCATTGCCATTGCTTGTCCCATCTTGTGTGATAATAACTGTACTAGAGGAGGTACTGCTGTGTAGTTGCTCTAGCCTTCAGTACCTGAGTGTTGTTTAGGTGAAGTATAGAAGTGCCACTTACATATTCTCTGTCTGTTATTGATAGACAGGAGTGGGAAGTATTTTCCATAACTTCAGATAAGGAAAGGGTTATTCTTATAGAGTAGAATGGTAACTGCCTCCTTTGCTCCGAGTCAGTAATATTTGATCCTATGTGGCCACCTGTGAACAAGACTTTAGGATTATCCTAACTAAAAATGTGAAAGATGACGTTTGGTAGAAAAACATGAATAGAAACGAAGTTATAAACTGCAGATTTTCCTCTTCTTCAAGACCAGTTTTGATTTAAGTGCTTCATTGTAAACTCATCTGTGGTTTTTTTGGTCCCTTTATTGCCACTCCCCTAGAAATGGTTAGGGTGTCTAAGTTGCAGAATACCTTGGGCTGGGCTTGCCTCCTCAGAGATAAGCATTCTGAATAAGGCTAATCTAGACAGCAAGCTGAAGCCAGGCTTGTGTGTGGAATAACAGTTGTTCTGTGAAAGTAGAAGTGCATCATTACATTAAAATTTTGCCTCATGATGCTTTTAAGTTATGGGACCAGTGTCTTCATTTTGAGATTAAGTCAGTTTGTCTGTTACTTGCTCTAAAACTGGATGGCTTGGGTATCCAGTGCCCCAGGGGTTTTCCCTGTCAATGTTTTTTGGAGTGAACAGGTGCTTTGCACCGATCTTAAGGGGCAGAATGAAGTTAACTTAGCACCTTGACAAGCTTGTATTTTTATTGCACATTGAGTGCTATTACTTTGGATCTGTTAATTTCCTTTTGAATAGCAGAGCAGAGTTATTCCTGATAAATGGGTAAGGGTGGACATCTTTTGCTTTGCTTGTCCCTGCCAGAAAAGAATTGGAGCAGCCCACGACCTCTTTAGCCCACAGAGTGGCAGTATTGTAACATGATTCATACTTGATCTTCCTTGTCAGACTGTTTTTTTCGAAAGTGACAAACACCAGTAGCAAAGCATGTTCTTAACCTTGGAAGGGTGGGGGTCAGTTGACAGGTAGGTCTCAACACAGAGATGACCCCTAATCCTTCGGAGATGTGAAGTGTTCATAAACAACAATTGTGTATGCTCCATATAAAGCATCTGTATTAACTATTAGGTACATAGTGTAGGCTTTCCTGATTCAGATCCTTCAAGGTCAAACAGCTGAAAGTAGCTTAACCTACTTCTACGTAAAGGAACAAAAGATCATAATGATGCTCCTAGGAACAGACAGTCTGCCTTCAAATTACTTTCAGAGCTGTCTGACAATACAAGGAGACCTGCCTAGCTAATACAATTTATTCTGCTTAGTTAGTGTGAACATGTTTTAGTTTAAAAAGAAAAAAAAAAAAATCAGGGTTTTTTTTTTTTTAAATACAAGGAATAGTCTCATGTAAGCAGTTAGCAACAGGTTATTAAGACTCAACATAGGTGCATAAAACTATTTGGAGATACGCTGCAGTTGCCAGCTTGCCTTATGAAATGACAGAGCAGTGGTGTGGATCTAAGTGAAAAATATTTCACTTAGAATCATTATGGTTTTTATTTTTCAAAACCTAAAGTCAGTGGATACCTAGCTATTAAATTAATAAATAATAAAATGGCACTCAGTTATTCTAGTGCATCCTTTCATGTATCTGTGTTGAGGGGAAAGCTGTGGAAATTATTCCTGTAATTTTTTTTTAATAGTGTTATGGAAAAGATCCATGATCCCATCCAGTGCACTACCTTAATGGTGCAGGAACACTTAATATAGCACAGATTTCTTTATCAGATTTAAAATGACTAGAGGGTGGGATTTGCTTATGGAACATTTCTGCTCAATGTGGTGTTTCAGCTATGAAATTGGCATCCATTCTCTAAAGACAATGTGCAGTGATACTTTAGCAGAGCGCACCAATGTTTCTTGAGGCAGGTGAGTCTGCAAAAGAATCTGAAAACCTGCAAATTAGTGTCCTAACTCAATAATAAATTGGGTTATGATTTAAGCACTACTTCATATATCAGAAAGCTGAATTAATTGCAGCTGAAGCTCTCTTCTCAGTAGACCTCAGCTGAGGAATTGTCCCCATGAGATACCTTTTTTCAATAGCTGAACATGAATTTTGGTTGGATTAAAGAGGCATGATGACATCTTCCTAACGCATGCTCTCCCTATTGTCTTGATGTTGGGGCTTGAAACACTGAATTGCCTAAAGCCCCTGTGACAATTAAATTTTGTAAGTATCTCCATATAACAGGGTAACAATGTTAGCTCTGTGCAAAGCTTCTGTAACCCATAAATCCTGTGACCAGCCTCTGTGATCACTGAGCATTTTTAAAATTAAGCAAGTTGAGGCACGTCTCTGTCAGCCCTTTGCGTGTTTCTAGAAAATCTTGATTTTTTGGGTACTCACTTCAACATTAGAAACAAATGAAAATTCTTCCTGCAAGGCCTGAGGAGTTATCTAAAAAGAGTCTTCAGTTTTCTGTTTAGCCTAGCTGACATTACCGATGAGGTGAAATGTTGCTAAGAAGTTATGTTGCTGGCTTCCACTAACACAGGAAATTCTGTTGTTTCAGGCTTACCATGTATCTTCTGTTTTACCTCTTGAGCAGAACTAACTTAATCTGGTTTTGCTTGTTTTCAAGAACAAAAAAATTTCTAATCATTCTGGTTTGGGGTTAGAATTGCTCTGTGATGCTCAGCAGACTAAAGTCTTAAATTATATTAACCCTTTGTCCTGCTTTCTTTTGCATATTCATTTAAATGTTTATTTTACCAACAGTATACATTTTATGTAAGAGAATTATTGTGCCTAAACATAGCTGCCTGGTTTCATGTTAGGTAACTTAAGCAGCCTGGTCTCTGGCTGTTCATGTAGGGTCCTAGATGCCTCGAGTCTTACACAGCAATCCTGTATGCATGCTTTGTATACCTTTGGATGTATAAAATGGCATTAGGTTCTTATATTTAGATGCCAAAATACCACCTGTTCTGTCTGAAGAACCTGAATTGTCTTGATATGTGTGTGTGGATCTAAGTTTTAGGGTGTTTATACTGACCAGTTCAGGCTCCCTTAGATGTCGAATATGGATACTTCAAAGTACTGTCTATAGTACTGGTACCTACTTCTTTCCTGTGATACTGGGAATAGAATTATTGATATACAAATCACAGTGAGGTCAAATTTAATGTGAGATGATAGGCAGATGATACCTCAATTCTAATGTGTTTTGCTGCTTCTTATAGTTTAAACCTGCTTCTTAATTAAATAACTGTCTTTTAGATAGAACTTTCTTGACTGATTTTGCAATAAAATACTCCAAGTTATTAACACTGTGGCATTTGAGTTTAGAAATGTACATGGCAGGAATACTGAGATAACTGAGCAAGCAAAGGTTCTCCTGCTTTGTGAATAGCTAGGCAGGACGATGTCTCTCTTACTAATCTCACTTGTGGGTTTATTGGGTGTGTTTTTTTCTCCAGAGACCTGGGTCATGTTGTGAAAAAGGCATGAATGTACCCATCAGAATCTCACAGCATACATAAAAGTACACACATTATTCTGATCAGTCTGGCATTAGCTGACAGATGGCACTGCCATCACACAGAACCAATCTGAAAAACATGATTTTTTTGTCACCACGTGCTGCAGGCACTTGGTATCACGCAGAAGATGACCTTCAGACATCTTATTAATGTTGGTAGGAGTATAGGAGCAAAAAGCTCTTCTGGCAGTTCTATCCTTCATGTTAGTCCCTGAAAAATTAATCTATTAATAAAAGATTCGCCATAATTCACTCCAGTTTCTTGGTATTAACTAGGCAATGAAATGGCACAAAAGGGCAATTTCTTCTTGAAGTAGACAGCTTTATTCTGTCCAATTTTCTTGACAAGGCATAAATTTTAGGGAGTACTGACTACCAACTTGTGCAAAAAACTGGCTGAAGTTGGAAAGTTGCAGAGTTCTGAAGGGTTATGTAACTGAAGGGAAGGATAGAACAGCCTTATGTGTTTTCTGCAAGGCTTTTCAAATACACCTACAGCCCACTCTTGTGCACTGAAGTAAACCGTACTACAAGGTGTCCCAAACACAATAGACCAGCAATGCTGGAAGAAGGGAGTTCTGAAAAACGTAAGCTTCCCTCAAACTTTGGGTGATGAAAATTTGGAGGTCTGCATACTTTATAGGGGACAAGATACTTTGAAATAATGAACACTTGGAAAATTGACCTACAAATGGTAGGGATAGTAGAAGGCCTGGAATAGTAGGAATGAAGTAGGCTTTAATTAGCTCAAGATAGAGTCTTAAAGCTGCCAATGTTTTAGTAGCTGCTCTGAAGTTAAATTTGACAATGGTGAAGTCTCTGGTAAATATTTAATGAAGCCTTTTCAGGGAGACTGATTTTATTCCTACTTTCCTGCACCTCATTATAATATTTAAAATGTCAGTAGCTTTTCTTTCAAAATTACCAGTGGTAAGATGGGAGAATATTGTGTTTAAAACACTGGAAAGCACTGTTGGGATACAGTAAAGTTTTAATTTATAGCACACAATAAATGAGCATTCTGCTATTGCTGTTTGGGGGAGAGGGGAAGAGTGCACATTTGATTTGCATAGTCTGTCTTGGCTGACAAATAGAAGTGGGCCTAAATTAAGTTTTGAACTGTTAATCTGTCTTATTCACTAGAGAGTCTTCAGGGCCCAGAGACCTGGCTTGACAGGTTAGTGAGTAGATGTTAATCTGGGTTTCTTGAGCAAGAATCTGCAGTTGTCCAGCTACCCTTTTTCTTCCTGACCTCCTCCAAGTTGAAGCTAATTATTTTTTGGCCAGAGCTATACTGCTTGGATTCGGTGGCAGGAGGGGAAGAAGTGGCTGCTTTAATGGAGTCTGGTTTGAGAGTCCGGTCTGCTAGCTACAAAATAAAACCAGCAATCCAAACTGCACTCCTGCCCCTTTATCAGGCCACAAATCTCTGTCCTTTGTTTACAGTTGTACGTTGTGGTTCTATGCTGTATGCCTTTCTAATTTTAAAATATGACTGCTTTTGTGCAGTCACTGTTTTTTATGGGTGCGTCTCACTGCTTTTGCGAATACATTTTTACTTCTGCTGGCTAACCACCAGTGTCTGACATTGCTGAGGAAGGCAGAAACCTTGAATTTAATATTAACTTGATTTTTTTTTTCTCTGCATCTAGTTCAAAATAATCCCAACTGCTTTTCTTATGCTTCAAAGCATTGGTACCTGGATAGCAAAATTTTAGGAGCTGAGGCAAATATGTGAAGATGCAGAGTGGGAGCAAGGGTGTTGGCCTTGTTTCTAAATGAAAAATACGCTATCTTGCTCTGCACCTATGTTAGGTTCTTCTGTCCTATTCTGCCCATCCTTCTATCCCCTCACCTTCTAAATAAAGTCAGCAAATGTTTTGCATGGTGTAGAGGTCTCAGAGTTCCTATAGCTAACAAAGGTAGCCAGCCAGGCAGAGCAGAGAGATCCCTGCTGATGAATATTGTAGAATAATCTCAATACCAGAGGAATTGATTCTTTGGTCAAATTTGTCTTATTAGATGTCAGAGATGCTACATATAAAGGGTGCAATCATACTGCAGTTTGGCCACAGTTAGTTAAAAAGGTCACTTAGGTATGAGACACAAATCAGTGGGAAAGAAGGCATCGCTAGTTTTAATACTGATTACAGTTTTTGTTAAGATTTTGTCATCTGGAAACTGTGATGTATATGTTGGAGTCAGTAAATATCTGTTTAGTGTTGTAATTTTTTAATGCGTTCCTACGGAAAAGGATTCTTCTTTGCTGTAATTGATTTGTCTGAATAGTGACACTCTTGATGTGGAATTCGTATGATAAGGAAATGGGAGGGAAAGATGTTACTTTCCCAGAACAAGAATGGTAGAAGTACATGCTGCAGACAGACCAAAAGCTGATTGCTGTAATCTCATGTCTCCCTGCACAGGAGAAATATAGGTGGCGGTTCATTGTCAAGAGCTGTTCAGCACAGCCAGCTCCCAAATTGTAAGCACAAAATACTGGTGGTATTGGGAAAGTGATAAAACTTGCTTTGTTTGTTTGCCAGGATTTTGAGAGTAATGGCTTTTGTAGTGTCCTTAGGAAGTTTTCACCAGGCATCAAACCATTTCAGGGACAATGAAAATACTTGGTTGCCTTTGGATAGCGTCTCCATTGTGCAAGTCAAACATTATTACTGTGATGGATAATTATATTGGAAGATCAAGGATTTCAGAAGAGTATCTCTAGGATGATACTGCCTTGAAAGGCATGACAGTACCAAAAGTTGTTTCTGAGAGTTCAGGTCTAATCCAGTTTAAGTGGAGCAAACAACTTGGATGATCCCCTATGTATATCCTGCCTTTCCCACTTTAGCAGTTTTAGCCTACTGGAATGGGTCATTAAGTTGATTTCTACTCGGTTCAGGTTTAAGCATAGTTCTGAACAGATCTAGAACTCTGTGCTAATATCATCTGTCTGACTGCTTTTGTGGATCAGCCCTGCCAATGGGTAAATATGAAAGTTGACTTTGTTCTGAAAAATCAAATGACTTAAGGCACACAGAAGGCCCATATTTATAGTGCAAATTGAAGGTAATATTGGACTCGTCTTAAGATAACAATAGCCATTAAACTTTTTTGTTTCTGCAGTCTGTCTCTGAAGGATTTTCTATTAACATCACCCTTCAAATCAGGAAGACTTAAAAACAGCTGACATGAGAATTTTGGAGTTTATTTTCCTATTGAAATGTTTAGAATATGGATATAAAAATCAGCTTTTGTGAAAGTCTTTAAATGATGCATATGGAAGGTGATACTTCCAGATATGACATTGTCAGCCATTTATTTTATAGCTATACAGCAATGTATTGAGAAACAAAAGGATTATTTATACAGAAAAAAGCAGCAGCAATGTTTCTAAATACAGGCCTAAGATTGCATGTCTTGCTGTGAAAGCATCTTTACAAATTCTCAGACCTCATGTGTAGTAATACAGTGGCAACCTGAATCTCTTCAACAGCTGCTTGTTTCAGAACAGTGTTTGGTTCTTCTATTGATCTAATTCTTTTTACTGAGTATGACCGCAAGAGGTGACCTGCTCTGATAAGATATGCTGGTTTTGCATGCTAACAATGCATAGTTAGATTAAAATAAAACTAGGAAACATTTTAGCCTCAAGCTGAGCACCAGTTCCAATAAAACTAAGACTGTATCAAGCAGTTCAGTGTTCTTATTCCTGGAAGAGGGTAAACCTCTGATCAGTCTTCCAGATTCACTCCCACCCCCACCGACCTGCCCCGGTCATTCACTACAAACTGTGTTTGTTTCTCTTGCCAGCTGCATCTTTTCAGTTATTTCTAATGTTACTTGTTAACTTGTTCTTGCCAGTTTTACTGCCCTTTCCTCTAACAATATATTTGTATTTCAGGGAATTGATTCACTTGCTTGTTCACCTTTCTGAAGCTCTGCATGAAGCACAACTTAAACTCATACTGGTCATCCCTCCTGCAGTTGCAGCAGGGTGAGTATTCCTATTTAGATGGCAGGTTCCAGATGAGAAATACTTTCTTGTCTGATGTACAATAAATTCAAAGCTTTGTTTATAGCTATGCAGCTTAAATGAATAAGAAATTATTTGGGTTGGTTTGGTAGTCCTGTCTTCATGCATGTTGCACTGAATAGTCTTAGTAACTGTGCATTCATATATACCTCATAGCTTTTGATGTCAAAACAACTTGCAAAAGGGACCTCCTATTGTGGTGTTAGCCCAAAATGTCTGGTAAGAACTTCCAGGAGAACAAGAGCAGAAACAGTTGTGGAGGTTAACGACTTGTTACCAAGGAGTGGAAAGGGTGTCATAAAGGTAGCATATGAAAGAACTTTCTGAGTCTTTGGGCACAATTTCAGCTATGATAGGTAATAGTTATTCTTTAAGTAAGCAAAACAGAGCTGCAAGAAGGAATTATATCTATAATAGGGCTGTGGGTTTTTAAAATTATTTTGACTTGATAGTTCATATGTACAGAAAATGCATTTAATAAGAGGATAATATTTGGAATTGTTAATGATTCTGTTTATTTGTGCAATGATTTAAATCTGACGGATGTAGCAGTTTATATGTTCTTCTGGCTCAACAGCAGTAGGCAGTTCTTATCTTTCAGTGTTTCAGCAGAGAGAGAATTACTTCATAAGATTGTATGTGTTGGAAAAAACAAAACCCATGTGGAAAATGAGACTGTAATTTCATTATATGTGGAAGGAATTTGAACCCTTTTTAAGTCTTTACATTTTTAGGAAAAGATTTTCCATTGTCCTTAAGTGATATATAGTAACACTGAAAAAAATCACAGTTTTACTAGATCTCTAGTCTTTTTCTTGAAAGAAAATGGCACTCCCGTATTTTGGTATTTCAGGGAGATTATGTGTAGTCCTTCAGGGCTTTGTATGATCAATCAGTGATTACATCCATGTGTGAGTGAGCAGATAGAAATGAAGACAAGGGTGGAAGGTGATTCAGAATACCAGCAGAGTGATGTGACTTTGTTATTGTCATTTCAAATTGAAATGTGGGCCATGCCAATGCTATACAGCTTTATTAGCAAGATTTTGGCAGTATTCATCTGCTATTTGGTAACATTTGTTCACATTTGGATGCCCTTCCAGGTCAAAAGATTCAAGGTACCCTTGCATCATGAGCATAGCTATCTGTTGTGCTACCTTGTGGAAAAGCATTTATGGTATACACTAGTGCTACAAGGAATACATCATACCTTTCAGAGAATTGTGGTAATAAGGGTTATGTAATCGCAAAAACTACCAGGTTCTGAATCTCTGTATTCCACTCTCCTGTTTCCTTGCTTCTCAAAGGTAATGAATGTCCCTGTTACACTGTGGATGGGCCAAATGTTAAAGTTGCGTGTATGTCATGGGTGATGGCCTTTTACTGTCAGAGTGAGAAGCTCTAAATCCCTGTTCATTGTTTTTAAGAGTTTTGGTGGGGGCTCTTGTGATATGGAACTGCAGAATAATGAAGCATAACCTGTTGTAGAGGATAACATACATGAAACAGTCTTCATAAAGTAATTGAGTATGTTGCAGTAGGCTCTGCTAACTGCAGAATAGGTGACAGATGGGACATGTGTCCTAATCCTCTGTTGTGTTTATTCCTTATCTCTGAATTTTACCTAATGGAATAGGTACCTCCTCCTGATTATGCAGATATTTTTGACTTACTGGGCTTGACTTGCTGATAATGATAACTGGGGAAGACTCATAATATTTGTGTAGTCGGCAGTGCAAGATTTTTTTTTCCAAGTTTCCTTTTTCCTTCAAGCTGTTCAGCAACCTTATGCCTGCACATGAAAATTCAGTAATGTAAGTCAATCTTAAACAGAGAGCCATTATTAGGTATTTTTCATATGAGAGTTAGACAGCTAAAAAAAAATATTACAAAGTATTCTTTTTCTCACCTTGGGCTGTATAACGGTATGGACAGGCTCACAGCCACTACAGTTTATGACAGTTTAACAGCACAGTTTCAGGATGGTGTTGTACAGCCTCCTCAATTTCTTGTAGGCTGTCACGATCTTTCAGTGTACGTTCATTTCCAAGGTGTCAAAAAGGCTGAGAAAATGGAATGCCTGAGCAGGCTTGTAAATGTCTCTTCTGCAGCTGAACATTTCTCTGCAATGGTCTCAAGTTTTTGTTGGGTTTTGCGGGGAGGTCCGATAGCATGAGGGGGAAGCAAAACATTTCTGCCTACAGATATCTGTGCAGAGCTTAAATGCTGCCTGCCGAGAAGATTCAGGGACCCTGTAGTAGGTGACTAAAATGTTGTCTGTGCTGAGATCAGTTAGCATCTGCACTATAACTGTGATGTAACCCCATCCAAACCAATTCTTGATTATAGGGTATGTACTTTCTACCATCTTAAGACTGTAAGCCCTGAATAATACCTACCTGTAATTTTGTTCTTCAATAGCTGCATGAAATCTGATTGCAGTTCATTTTCTATAAAGCTATGTACTTCAGGATGACTTTTTTTTTGCTTTATGTTTTCCTCTATTGCATGCTATGACTGTTTTATAGCCTTAAAATGAAGTAGCTAGTTTAATGCAAAAATCCCTTTGCTTCCATGTGTGGCTGGCCACCAAATTTTGATAGGCAGAGAGAGAGAAGCAATATGTTGAAGACTATGGCAAAAGCAAACAAAATAAATTCCATGTAAATTGGAAAAGTAGGCGGTCCTGTAAAATAATAGCTATGCAGAGCCCTTTTCTTTAGGGACTGAAGGGCTCTGACAGCCTAGCTGCATTTTGAGGAGATTCCTTCCTGTCACTCAAGCCCCTCTGTTTCTACCTCAGTTCTGGTGTTTTTTGCATCATGTTTCATGAGACACTTTATTCGTAGAACAGTACTACTTTTAGTGCATTGAGAGTGGATCCAAGTCTCAGAACAACACTAGACTTACACTGTTGTTTCTTTTTCTCTGGACATGGTGTGGCTTGTTCCTTTTTCCTCTCTGTGCTCCATACTTTCCTTGGTCTTCCCATGTCAGAATACATACCCTATAATCCTGAGGCAGTTTGGCACGCTGCTACACTCCAAATGTTGTAATGTGCAAAAAGGAATGCACTATATAAATGGGGTCAAGAATTTATTGTTCGTCCACCTAATGTTTTAATAGTATGATAGTCCAAATTATCTAGTTAATACAGAAAAGCCTCATTAACATTACAGCTAGAATTGTTACGGAGAGCCTTCCCACTTTTCTACCCCTTTTCAATGGTGTTATGCTCACCCTTCCACTGTTCCTGTGGGTCCTGAGGCTGACAGTATTCCTTAAGCAGAAAAGATGAGTCATCAGCATGGTGAGGTCTTTCTCAGGAGCAGTGTGATATTCATGCTGGAGGTTTCTTCTTTGTCAGCCTTAGGTTTCATTTGGGGCTATTTCACTTTTTCTGTCACAATCTGCTTCCTCTTCATTGACTCTCAGCTGAAGTTTGAAGTTTGTGCAAACGCCTCAGGTCAGTCAGACCTCTTCCATATGTGGTATTCCCAGAGCTGGAGGCAGTACTCACTTGACCACAACAATTATTTGAAAGAATGTTCAGGCCATAAGATGCAGAGGATTTTAAAAAGGAGGAAGCTTCTAATCAGCACTGTTTCTCAGGGTGAGGCATCACATGTGTTGCAAGTAATCAGAGCTACAGGGCAGGTATGTTGTTCCTTACTGTCATGGATGTCTGTGTGTGGCTGTTGAGAGCCACTTTTGTGGCTGGTAATACTTGAGTCTTAGGAAGCCAGCTTTCTCTGTCAAGAGAAGGTTGAGAGTCATTCAGGTTTGCTTCAGAATATAAATGCTTAGGAGCTTCTTCTGATGCATGGATGGCTTTGCTGGTAAAACTTTCTACTACAAGGAAGGTTCCAGGAACTGAATGATGCTTTTGGCTATTGCCCCCTGAAATGCTAGCATGGCTCCCAGTAAGTCAGTGTTATGTGCCTTTAATAGTATGATAGTCCAAATTATCTAGTTAATACAGAAAAGCCTCATTAACATTACAGCTAGAATTGTTACGGAGAGCCTTCCCACTTTTCTACCCCTTTTCAATGGTGTTATGTTCACCCTTCCACTGTTCCTGTGGGTCCTGAGGCTGACAGTATTCCTTAAGCAGAAAGATGAGTCATCAGCATGGTGAGGTCTTTCTCAGGAGCTTCAACTGAAGCCTTTAACAAGGCTTCAACTGAAAAGTACTTCCCATTGTGTATTAAGTATCTTGTGTCTTGAAACTCACTTCGGGTTTTAACTCATTGCACCACAGCGCAATAACTGCAATACTTCTTTAAAAATAAAGACATGGAAACTAAGTCCTTAAAAATCTATTCCTGGCTCATGAGATAATGGTCTGTGAATGTTGCAAAGGTTAATACTCTCATTTCTTGCAGATTTTTCTGGAAAATTGTGGGCTGGTATGCCTTTGTGTCACATGGATGTTCAATGGTGATAACGAATACTTTGAGATTCTCATTCTTTGGTTAAGTCAAAAATAATGAGAAATTACTATGTCTTCTATCTATCATTTATTCCAATCTTTCATGCTGCCCTCTTATGATCTACATTTCATCCCAATTGATAGTTCCTTTTTAAAGCAATTTTCTGTTGCTATTAATTGTAGTCTATTACAGATAAAGCGAAGGAGAACACTTTAAAACATTTTTCTAAAATGCTTTATGAGTCACTTTATCACAGGGATTATTTTAAAATGTTAATGCATGCTCTGGTAGAATTTAAACAATTGCTGTAAACAGTGTTCACATTAAAGTGCATTTGTTCCTTTTGGTGGTAGGGAGAAAGTGGAAAATCGTACAAACCTTAAGATTCCTGTTCATTGTGAAGCCTATTTACATTACCAGATTCAGTCTCGTAGCCAGAGGGACCTAAATCTGTTTTGTTTATATGCAGTCACATGGGGCTTTACACTCTACTTTTTCTAAATCCCAAAACAAGAGTCGAAGCTACTA